ATAAAAACTAACGAAAACGCCTCAAAAAAGCGCCTATATACACTTTTTTGCAGTTCTTAACATGGTTTCGCCATTTTTACACCCCCCTAGAATCGGAAACATTAAGCAAAAAAAATAACGTGTAAATCCCCCCTACAAAATAATGGTATAGTCCTCTTTCTGTTATAACGGACGATACCATTATTGTTTTAGGGGTGTTTTGCCATTTGGATAAAAACTAACGAAAACGCCTCAAAAAAGCGCCTATATACACTTTTTTGCAGTTCTTAACATGGTTTCGCCATTTTTACACCCCCCTAGAATCGGAAACATTAAGCAAAAAAATAACGTGTAAATCCCCCCTACAAAATAATGGTATAGTCCTCTTTCTGTTATAACGGACGATACCATTATTGTTTTAGGGGTGTTTTGCCATTTGGATAAAAACTAACGAAAACGCCTCAAAAAAGCGCCTATATACACTTTTTTGCAGTTCTTAACATGGTTTCGCCATTTTTACACCCCCCTAGAATCGGAAACATTAAGCAAAAAAAATAACGTGTAAATCCCCCCTACAAAATAATGGTATAGTCCTCTTTGTTACTGTTATAACGGACGATACCATTATTGTTTTAGGGGTGTTTTGCCATTTGGATAAAAACTAACGAAAACGCCTCAAAAAAGCGCCTATATACACTTTTTTGCAGTTCTTAACATGGTTTCGCCATTTTTACACCCCCCTAGAATCGGAAACATTAAGCAAAAAAAATAACGTGTAAATCCCCCCTACAAAATAATGGTATAGTCCTCTTTCTGTTATAACGGACGATACCATTATTGTTTTAGGGGTGTTTTGCCATTTGGATAAAAACTAACGAAAACGCCTCAAAAAAGCGCCTATATACACTTTTTTGCAGTTCTTAACATGGTTTCGCCATTTTTACACCCCCCTAGAATCGGAAACATTAAGCAAAAAAAATAACGTGTAAATCCCCCCTACAAAATAATGGTATAGTCCTCTTTCTGTTATAACGGACGATACCATTATTGTTTTAGGGGTGTTTTGCCATTTGGATAAAAACTAACGAAAACGCCTCAAAAAAGCGCCTATATACACTTTTTTGCAGTTCTTAACATGGTTTCGCCATTTTTACACCCCCTAGAATCGGAAACATTAAGCAAAAAAAATAACGTGTAAATCCCCCCTACAAAATAATGGTATAGTCCTCTTTCTGTTATAACGGACGATACCATTATTGTTTTAGGGGTGTTTTGCCATTTGGATAAAAACTAACGAAAACGCCTCAAAAAAGCGCCTATATACACTTTTTTGCAGTTCTTAACATGGTTTCGCCATTTTTACACCCCCCTAGAATCGGAAACATTAAGCAAAAAAAATAACGTGTAAATCCCCCCTACAAAATAATGGTATAGTCCTCTTTCTGTTATAACGGACGATACCATTATTGTTTTAGGGGTGTTTTGCCATTTGGATAAAAACTAACGAAAACGCCTCAAAAAAGCGCCTATATACACTTTTTTGCAGTTCTTAACATGGTTTCGCCATTTTTACACCCCCCTAGAATCGGAAACATTAAGCAAAAAAAATAACGTGTAAATCCCCCCTACAAAATAATGGTATAGTCCTCTTTCTGTTATAACGGACGATACCATTATTGTTTTAGGGGTGTTTTGCCATTTGGATAAAAACTAACGAAAACGCCTCAAAAAAGCGCCTATATACACTTTTTTGCAGTTCTTAACATGGTTTCGCCATTTTTACACCCCCCTAGAATCGGAAACATTAAGCAAAAAAAATAACGTGTAAATCCCCCCTACAAAATAATGGTATAGTCCTCTTTCTGTTATAACGGACGATACCATTATTGTTTTAGGGGTGTTTTGCCATTTGGATAAAAACTAACGAAAACGCCTCAAAAAAGCGCCTATATACACTTTTTTGCAGTTCTTAACATGGTTTTCGCCATTTTTACACCCCCCTAGAATCGGAAACATTAAGCAAAAAAAAACGTGTAAATCCCCCCTACAAAATAATGGTATAGTCCTCTTTCTGTTATAACGGACGATACCATTATTGTTTTAGGGGTGTTTTGCCATTTGGATAAAAACTAACGAAAACGCCTCAAAAAAGCGCCTATATACACTTTTTTGCAGTTCTTAACATGGTTTCGCCATTTTTACACCCCCCTAGAATCGGAAACATTAAGCAAAAAAAATAACGTGTAAATCCCCCCTACAAAATAATGGTATAGTCCTCTTTCTGTTATAACGGACGACGATACCATTATTGTTTTAGGGGTGTTTTGCCATTTGGATAAAAACTAACGAAAACGCCTCAAAAAAGCGCCTATATACACTTTTTTGCAGTTCTTAACATGGTTTCGCCATTTTTCACACCCCCTAGAATCGGAAACATTAAGCAAAAAAAATAACGTGTAAATCCCCCTACAAAATAATGGTATAGTCCTCTTTCTGTTATAACGGACGATACCATTATTGTTTTAGGGGTGTTTTTGCCATTTGGATAAAAACTAACGAAAACGCCTCAAAAAAGCGCCTATATACACTTTTTTGCAGTTCTTAACATGGTTTCGCCATTTTTACACCCCCCTAGAATCGGAAACATAAGCAAAAATAACGTGTAAATCCCCCCTACAAAATAATGGTATAGTCCTCTTTCTGTTATAACGGACGATACCATTATTGTTTTAGGGGTGTTTTGCCATTTGGATAAAAACTAACGAAAACGCCTCAAAAAAGCGCCTATATACACTTTTTTTGCAGTTCTTAACATGGTTTCGCCATTTTTTACACCCCCTAGAATCGGAAACATTAAGCAAAAAAAATAACGTGTAAATCCCCCCTACAAAATAATGGTATAGTCCTCTTTCTGTTATAACGGACGATACCATTATTGTTTTAGGGTGTTTTGCCATTTGGATAAAAACTAACGAAAACGCCTCAAAAAAGCGCCTATATACACTTTTTTGCAGTTCTTAACATGGTTTCGCCATTTTTACACCCCCCTAGAATCGGAAACATTAAGCAAAAAAAATAACGTGTAAATCCCCCCTACAAAATAATGGTATAGTCCTCTTTCTGTTATAACGGACGATACCATTATTGTTTTAGGGGTGTTTTGCCATTTGGATAAAACTAACGAAAACGCCTCAAAAAAGCGCCTATATACACTTTTTTGCAGTTCTTAACATGGTTTCGCCATTTTTACCCCCCCTAGAATCGGAAACATTAAGCAAAAAAATAACGTGTAAATCCCCCCTACAAAATAATGGTATAGTCCTCTTTCTGTTATAACGGACGATACCATTATTGTTTTTAGGGGTGTTTGCCATTTGGATAAAAACTAACGAAAACGCCTCAAAAAAGCGCCTATATACACTTTTTTTGCAGTTCTTAACATGGTTTCGCCATTTTTACACCCCCCTAGAATCGGAAACATTAAGCAAAAAAATAACGTGTAAATCCCCCCTACAAAATAATGGTATAGTCCTCTTTCTGTTATAACGGACGATACCATTATTGTTTTAGGGTGTTTTTTGCCATTTGGATAAAAACTAACGAAAACGCCTCAAAAAAGCGCCTATATACACTTTTTTGCAGTTCTTAACATGGTTTCGCCATTTTTTACACCCCCCTAGAATCGGAAACATTAAGCAAAAAAAATAACGTGTAAATCCCCCCTACAAAATAATGGTATAGTCCTCTTTCTGTTATAACGGACGATACCATTATTGTTTTAGGGGTGTTTTGCCATTTGGATAAAAACTAACGAAAACGCCTCAAAAAAAGCGCCTATATACACTTTTTTGCAGTTCTTAACATGGTTTCGCCATTTTTACACCCCCCTAGAATCGAACATTAAGCAAAAAAAATAACGTGTAAATCCCCCTACAAAATAATGGTATAGTCCTCTTTCTGTTATAACGGACGATACCATTATTGTTTTAGGGGTGTTTTGCCATTGGATAAAAACTAACGAAAACGCCTCAAAAAAGCGCCTATATACACTTTTTTTGCAGTTCTTTAACATGGTTCGCCATTTTTACACCCCCCTAGAATCGGAAACATTAAGCAAAAAAATAACGTGTAAATCCCCCCTACAAAATAATGGTATAGTCCTCTTTCTGTTATAACGGACGATACCATTATTGTTTTAGGGGTGTTTTTGCCATTTGGATAAAAACTAACGAAAACGCCTCAAAAAAGCGCCTATATACACTTTTTTGCAGTTCTTAACATGGTTTCGCCATTTTTACAACCCCCCTAGAATCGGACATTAAGCAAAAAATAACGTGTAAATCCCCCCTACAAAATAATGGTATAGTCCTCTTTCTGTTATAACGGACGATACCATTAATTGTTTTAGGCCTCAAAAAAGCGCCTATATACACTTTTTTTTTTT